GTGAGCGTAGTGGGGACCTCCTTCCCCTGGCCGTCAAGGGGGCCCTCCCGGGGCTGGGCAGAGCTGGGCTGGCGGGCAGCCTCCCCACGCTGCACCGTGCCGGGCAGTTCTGAGGCCCGGCCCACAGCCCTGCTGGCTGGGTTCTTGCCAGAGTGCTCTCTCTGTGAGGCCAGCTGGGGGATGCCCCTGCGGCGGGGACGCCGGGCGGAGGGGCCACGTTTGGACCTGGCTGAGGCTGCTCGGGCTATCGACGCTCTTCGTGCCCCGGGAGCGGGAGGGGTGACCGCTGGCGGGAGTTCTGGGGCTCCCTGCAAGCCCGGCCTGTCCCGAGGGCTCAGAACATGTACTGCTCACCCCCTCCTCAGGGTCTGCGGGTGGCCGGATGTTGGGCCTGGGTTACGGAACAAGGACCAGATGGAGGCCCAGGCTCACCTCACCCTGCCCGTGAGGGTGTCACTGCAGCGAAAGGAAGGGCCAGGCCCTGGGCAGCTCCTTCCGTCCTGGGAAGGGGCTTCTGGCTGGGGCCAGAGTGCAAGTGATAACAATGGGACCCCCTGTGTGCAAGACCCCCTCCCCCACTGCTCATGGGGGGCCAGGGGATCGACAAGGCCCTTTGGAGTCGGGACTGAGACTCATCACACGGCATCTTGACAGAAAAGGGGGGGGGCGGAGCAGCCTCCTTTATCTGCTGGCCAGGCACCGGCTGTGGCCCCCCTCTGGAGCCAGGGGGCCCCCGGAGCCTCCAACCACCAGGCCCGCAGCCAGGGTGGGCCACTGGCCGTGGGTTTCCCTGTGTGTGGACCCTCACTGCCTTCTGAGCGTGGGAGCTCTGAAGCAGGCTGGGGTGATGGTCACCCCCCAGGCCGGTCACCTCCCTGACACCTGTCAGAGCCCCCCATGCTCCTGGCCACTCTCTGCTGAGTGAAGACACAAGGGCTTTTCTACGGTGAGTGAGGGTCTGTGGCCTTGGGGAGGTCCTCAAAGGGTCCATAACCCAAGAGAGGAGAGAAATGTGGGTGTGAGCGCCCGCACATGCACACACACACGCACGCACACACGCACGTACAGATAGCAGATAAAAGTGGTCCATGAAAAAAATCAGTAAAAAAAATAAAGCCCCCACCGCAGGCCCCGTCTTCCAGAATCTGTTGTAACAGATTCACCCAAGCTGGTTAACGGTATTTGCGGTTTGCAAGATGCTACACGTCCCTGGAAAATGACAGACAAGTTATTATCACCTCTCCACTCTCCTTCTGCCCAGACCTGCCCGTGCTGGGCACCCAGCTGCAGGGGAGCAGGCGCGAGGAAATTAACAGCCACCACGCCGCGCCCGCCACCCTCTGCCCACCACCCCCTGCACCAGCCCTGCCAGGCCCGAGGCTCCCAGCCAGGCTGGGCCGGGCCTATCGTGGACTCGGGGGGTGGGGTGGATCGGAGGAGAGGAACCGGGTGGAGGCAGGATGGGCACACACCAGCGTCTGGGCAAACCATTTCCTGCAAACACGAAGGAACTCACGCATCCCCGAACAGGCAAGTCCTGACGGCTCTGTGTCAACCGCCGAAGATAAATAAGATTTTATCAGCTCGGAATCTGTTGAAACACATCCATCTAGCGGTTCTAGGGAAGGAGAGGCAGGAGGGAGGGAGGGCGAGAAGAAGCATCGCCACGTGACCTTTTTTACAAAACAGATGAGGACCCAGGCGCCCTCCTCCTCCCTGCTCCGTGCCCCGGGGCGGCCTGAGGCCCCGGAGCTCTGGGAGGAGAGGAAGGATCTAGGGGCGGGGGTGGGGGGCTCCTTCATTCCCTCCAGGTCCCACCCTGCCCCCAACCCCAGGTTTGGCTATCCAGGCCTACCCCCTCTCCCTCCCAGGCTTCCTTCCTGCCCTGCAGCCCAGCGGCCGCAGGTGTCACCACCTGATGCTACCAGGGTGGGGAGACCTCAGGCACCCCTCCCTGACGCTGCCCGACTTGGGCCAGGCTGGGCGTCCGTGGGTCCAGCCCCTGCTGCGGGGCTGGGGCCTGACCGGGTGTGTGCCCAAGGGCAGCGTGAACAGCCAGCTGAGGGCAGTACTGGGCTGGGGACACTACTAGGGGAGCGGGCCACCCAAGGCCGTCGGGGGCCTTGCCGGGGCGCAGAGGGAGGGGCCTCCTCTGCCCATGCTCATCGCCAGCCAGCCGGGGTGAGGCACCCCAGGCAGCTCTGCGCTCCCAGCCGAGCCGGCTTTCGGCTTTCGGCTTTCGGAGGGGCGGTCAGGCGGCCGCTGCCCTCGGTACCAGGGACAGCTCCCAGCAGCTCCTCCCAGGGGCGGGGCGTCCACAGCTCCGGAGGAGGTGGCCAGTGGGTCTGGGGCAGGCAGGCCAGAGGGAAAGGCTGCGCTGGTGGGGGCGGGGGCTCTGAAGCCACGTGGCGGCGATCAGGGAGCCTGGGGCGGGGGCTGCAGCTTTGCGCCTCCCAAGGCTGCGCCTGGAGCCTGGCTCCATCCATTCCCTCCTTGGGGCTGCCTGCGGTGGTTGGTCGACGTTGGAGAGGGGACTGCGGGGCCAGCATGCCCTTGGCGGCCCGTTCGGCTCCATCCGTCCCTAACCACAGCCTTGGACTTGAACCCACTGCTCCTGCTCACACCGGAGGCCAGGAGCCACCTCACCTGGAGATGAGGAAGCACAGGAACACGTGCGGGCGCTTCCACAGTGGGCAAGGTTCAGGGGTGTTACATGTAGCGGCACATCACAGGCCAGCGATCAAGACGCGGGGGGTGTCCAGTGGTTTAAGGCATCCCAGCTATCAAACCCAGAGCCAAAACTGCAACACAGTGGCCAGGCCTCCGACGCCTCTCCCCTTGCTGACCACCCCCCAGCCCAGGCCAGCTCTCTGTGGGTCCTCTACACGCTGCCCCCCCCCCCCCGCCCTGGTCACCTCATTCGCTGGACCCTCCGCAGGCAGGTGGGACACCTGCAGGGGAAGAAACACCCTGTGGAATCCACCAACGCTGCAGGAGGCCCCGGTGAGGCTGCGTGGCATTCAGGCGTGAGCCTCCTGTAAGTCTAGTTTCTTCTGGGGGCTGAGGGGCTCTGTCCATTTTCCTTGGTGAGCCGAGGGGCTGGCAAACACGAGGCGCTCAACAAAGGCTTGCCGAGTGGACGGCTCTCGGGATCCCAGCCTCTCCTCCATGACTGCTTGTGTTCAGGTCCCTGGAGTCCAGCTGAGGCCCGCCATTCCCTGTGGGGCCCTCCGCTTCCAGGAAGTCCCCTAAGTAGGCCCCTGGAGCTCCTCCATGACACTCACCAGACAGTTTCCTCTGGAAACTAACTGCACCCTTGTCTCAGGTCAGGGACGGGTCCCGAAGCCTCACACATGGTGGACAAGAGAGCTGGGCGCTAAACTGGCAACTGGCGTTTGCTTTGGGCCGGTCTACTGCTGCCCTGGGCACGGCCCTCAGGGCAGGACTCAGCTCAGGATAAGCTCAGCTTATCTCCCAGACTGGTGCTTTGGGGAGTGAAGGGGCAGCATCTATACCGGTGGGGACCCAGGAGGTCAGCGGTCACCTCCCTGGGAAGTAGGACTGCCCCCCTGTGTGGCCCGAAGCCCACTGAGGGCCCACCTACACCCATGGGGGGTGTCCCTTCCTGCCGAAGCGGGGTCGCGGGCCCAGGTGGATGGGGCACCCAGGAGGCGACAAGCCCTGTGGGCATCCAGTTCCCTTCCACGATAGGGGCCTAAGGGGGCTCGTCCTGAAGCCACTGCTGAGGGAGTTGGACAGGGTCCCAATCCCCCAGGACACCACTAGGGAGATCCCAGCTCGGACCCGAGCCCCCTCAGACCCCACCCCAGGTCAGCATTTCCAGCTGGGTTTCAGCTCATCAGAGGAAGGACATCTCGCACTTCTCAGGGCCAAGGGCTCCGAGGCTCTGAGGGTCCATTGTGTCCCTTGGTGGCCAGAGGGTCAGGGTGTCAGGCCCCAGCTTCCTCAGCAAAGGTGGGATCAGACCTGCTCGTCCTCTGGTCTGCAGCAGCCCCGCCTCCAGCCTCAGTTTCCCTGACAACCATGGTGGGATGCGATGGGGGGCTCTCCAGGACCCTGTGGCTGGAATAACTCTGAGTCCCCAGGGGCCTGTGGGAGGCCCAGGGCTGTGGCATGACAGGCAGCATCCTGGGACTCTGAGACCCTGATGTTCCCCACTGTCCCTGGGGGATGGGGCCATGAGGAGCCCTGATGTATCCCCCCAGCCAGCTTGGAAACGAGTGGGCACCCCTGTTTCCAAGGGACCCTTCCATCAAGGGTCACTTTGAACTCATGAGAGCCGGCCTGGGTCCTCGGGTGGGCCGCCTGGACCTCTGGGCGCTCGCCCTGGAGGCCCCTTCAGGTGGCCTGAGAGTCATCTGATCCTCCCTGGGTCAAGGCCTTGGGCTGGGGGTCCTGGGGCTTCAAGGTCAAAGACCCCCACCCGCAGTGGCCAGAAGTAAGCCAAAGGGCTGGCCCCTCAGAGGATGGTCCAGGGAGTCCCTGTGCATGTTTCCTCTGTACAGAGGGCAGAAAACCTAACTCCAGGCTTTTAAAACCCGAGATATGAGGCTGTACCCTCCCCCCTTCAAACTACTGCAGTCTGGGGGCTTAAGGTTCATAGGCTTGATGCACTGGACCTGGCTCCCAGCCCCTGTCCCAGCCCTGCTCTCCAGCAGCTCCTTCTCACCATCCTGGCCTTTACTGTCCTCATCCATAAAATGGACCTAATGGTACCTACTTCTCCAACCAGTGAGATCCAGGTGGATAAGCGCCTCAGCCTGGCCACATGGGGCACTCAGAGCAGCTGCTCTCACTGAGCCCACACCAGCCAGACACTGATGGGTGGGTGCAGGGGAGAGGCTCTTTGAGGGAAGGAAGCCCAGAGGTGTTCAGCCGAGGGTCAGGCATGCGGTGGCCGGGACTCCTGGTGGGGGACACAGCGGGCTAGGGTGTGGAGTTGGGACGGCCAGCCTCACCGCGGTCCCCACCCCCTGCAGTATTCTCCTTTGCTAAAGAAGCTTTACTGCCAAATCGCCAAGACGTGCCCCATCCAGATCAAGGTGTCCACCCCGCCGCCCCCGGGCACCGCCATCCGCGCCATGCCCATCTACAAGAAGGCGGAGCACGTGACCGAGGTCGTGAAGCGCTGCCCCAACCACGAGCTCGGGCGGGACTTCAACGAAGGTGAGTGTCCCTGCCCCACCCACTCCTGCGCCCAGCGGCCAGCGCCCCAGCCGGGAAGGAGAGGGCTGGCCCGCGGCCTCCTTCCTGGTGGCGGCAGGTCCGATGCGAGGGGCTGCTGCCAGCTCTGCCTGGGGCCTTGGGTGCCGGTGCCCGCAGGTGAACGGGGAGCGGGGCTGCTGAGCCAAGTGCCCCGGGGGCATGAGGGCTGCCGGTGGATCTGAGTCCCACTGGGAGGCCCGAGTCCCCTGCGATGCGCCCGGCACAGGGGCGCAGACCCCAGCTGGCATCTCTCTGAAGCGGCGTCCCCTCTTGGCAGGACAGTCTGCTCCCGCCAGCCACCTCATCCGCGTGGAGGGCAACAACCTTTCGCAGTACGTGGACGACCCTGTCACCGGCAGGCAGAGCGTCATGGTGCCCTACGAGCCCCCGCAGGTAGGGGGCAGGGCTTCGGGGCAGAGACTCCTCGGGTCACTTCCCAAGTGTCCCCGAGCTGTGCAGATCCTCCCTCGGCCTCATGTCCATCCCTCCCTTGCCTGTGGGTGGGGCTCTGACCACCTACACTGCCTAGCTGCAGGGTGGGGGGGGTCCCCTCTGGCCCTCTCTAGGCATCCACATCCCTCGCTTTACAGTGGGGGGTGGGCCTGCTGACCCTTGGGCCTCAGCCCGGCCCTGCGTCCCCTCTTCCTGCCTGTCTGTTTTCCACGCCCTGGCCTGGGCTCTGGGGGATGGAGGGGCTGAGGTCAGGAGGAGTTAGCCCGGGTAGAGCTGGGGGGCCGCGGGGAGAGGAGAGACCTGCGGTCGGGGCACAGCACTGCAGGGCCCGGAGGTGCGGGGGAGGCTGGGGGGGATTGTTGCAAGAGGTGGGCGGGGGCGGAGAGACCCTGGGGGTCTGACTTGGACCTGAAGGCAGCAGAAGGCTCTGGGGCTGATGTGCGGGCCGGACTGGGGGGAAAGCTGGGGTGGAGAGAAGTCGGGGTGGCACCAGCCAGGGACGGTGGGAAGGGGGTGCCAGGATGGCAGGTGGAGACCGAGTCCCAGCAGTGCGCCTTGTGGGCCATGCTTCCCAGGGTGGGTGGGTGATGGCGAGCCCTCACCTTTCCTCTACCTGGGTCTGAGACGCCCACCCCCCACCCCCCTCAGAATTGTACCTAGTCCTCCAGGCACCCCCCTCCAGGCCCCATCACTGTACCTGGTCCCTCAGGACCCCCAGGACCCCCTGTGGTTCCCTAGGAACAGCCCTTTCATTGGCGGGGCCGGGGAGGGCTTACCACCCTGCCTTCCCCCCCCCCCCCCGAGCCTCACTGGCACCTCCAGGACCAGGAAAGCAGGTCTCTCCCGCCCCCTGGTGGCTGCCACATGCCAGCAGTTTTGTGAAAGGCCCGGTTTCCTAAGCCATCATCCTGACCCAGAGAGACCGTGACAACTGCCCATTTTGTGGTACTGGGATGCCCACTGGTCAAGAGTCCCGGGTTCACATCTCACTGTCTCCACAAACTCCCTGGAACAAGTGTGTGTGCTGGGAGCCCACTCGGACGGCTCTGGTCCCTCCCTCTGCTAGAGCTGTGTCATGCACCCCACTGCCCAGAAGAGCCCACAGTTTGCAAAACACACACCTGTGCCCACAGAGGCCTGTGCATGTGCCTGCTCACACCCAGCCTCCGGCGCCAACCCCCAGCCTGTGCCGGGGCGGTGGCTGGAGCAACCAGACCAAGGCTCTCTTGGTTCCAGAGCCAGCAGAGCACAGGGCGCTCACTGTGCCGACCGTGTGGCTGGCTGGCTGGATAGGTAGGTGGACGTGTGGGTGGGGGATGGATGGGGGATGGGTGGATAGACAGCAGAGGACCACAGGACAGGGCCCAGCACCCCCTTGCCTACCCAGAGACGCGAGGGGCAGGTGCCTGGAAGCCCAGGAGCCCCCAGCCCCGCGGACTGGGGCCCACGTGCTGACAGCACAGCTTCTCCCTGCCCCTCCTGCGGCAGGTGGGGACAGAGTTCACCACCATCCTGTACAACTTCATGTGCAACAGCAGCTGTGTCGGGGGCATGAACCGGCGGCCCATCCTCATCATCATTACCCTGGAGACGCGGGAGTGAGTCTGCCGGACGCGGGCGTCGGGGGGCACTGGGGCAGGGACTTGGGCCTGTGCTTCTGGGCTGCTTGCTGGAGAGACAGGGAGGCCATGAGCAAGGGGAGGTGCAGGCCCTGCAGGCCACGTGCTGGGAAGGGCTGCTGGGGCAGGAGCTGCCTTGGGAGGGACGCAGGGCACCTGGCGTCCCAGAGCAGCTGGGCACTCAGCCCTGAGCCCTCGGCCCGTCAAGGCCGGTCCTGTGGGGTCCGAGGTGGGTGGGGACGGTGGGCCCCAAGGCTCACGGTCCCGGCTGTGCCCCTGGACAGCGGACAGGTGCTGGGCCGCCGGTCCTTCGAGGGCCGCATCTGTGCCTGTCCTGGCCGAGACCGCAAGGCGGATGAAGACCACTTCCGCGAACAGCAGGCCCTGAACGAGAGCGCTGCCAGGAGCGGGGCTGCCAGCAAGCGCGGTGAGCAGGGCCGGGCCGGGGGTGCGGGGCTGGAGGGCCACCCTGGAACGTCAGAGCCAGGCCACCCTAGGACACAGCTGGACCTTTCTCGGGGCTCGGGGGAAACGCACGAGCCTGTGTCCGGGGGACAGAGCCAGCCCCGCCCGCGTGGCCGCCCCCGGTGCCCTCCGTCCAGTGTGGGTGGCCGCCCGTGTTTGCTCATCCGAGTGGGTGACTGGTCTCTGGGCCTGTCCACAAGGGGCACCTTGGGAAGGTCGGCTTGGCTAACCTGCGCGTGGCCCCTCCTCCCTGCCCGCTCACGAAGCTGCCCCACCCCGCCCCCTGGCAGCCTTCAAGCAGAGCCCCCCTGCTCTCCCTGCCCTGAGCACCAATGGGAAGAAGAAGCGGCACGGGGACGAGGAAACCTACTACATCCACGTGAGTGTGCCGCGTCTGCGGCCCCCAGGCTGGGGCCCCAGGGTGGCAGGTGCAGTCTGGCACATCTGAGAGCAGAGACCCCGAGCTCTGCAGGCTGCAGGGTCTAGAAGGGAGAACCAGCTCTCAGAGAGAGAGAGCTGTCCTGACACAGCTCCCAGTGCAGGAGTGTCGCTGTAGATACAATGGTACAGCGTGTGGGGCAGTGCAGGTCTCCCCACCGCCGGGGAGGGCACGTGCCAGGAATCCCACGCTCCCAGAGCCTGGCAGGCCCCAGCCACATCACCAAAGTGAGTTTACAGCCTGTGGCGTGATGCGGCCATTCCAGCTCGGATAAAACCCCACCTGCTCTGCTAGGACTGGTCTCCGTGACGTGAGCTTATCATTTTTTGAGTCTTTCAAGAATGAGTTCCAAAAAAAAAAAGGAATGAGTTCCTTGTTCTAAAAGCCCCGTATTTGTCCAGCGCCCCCGCATCCCAGCATCCCAAGTGTGCTGAGCTGTGGAAAGGGGAAGGTGGGCAGTGAGGCAAAGTCTCAAGGGTAGGAAGGGGTGGGCGTGGTTTGTGCAGACAGGAGACCCACCCACCAGACTCCCCCTGACCTGCTTCCTGGGAGAGGAAAGTAGGGTTAGGGGACTCCCGGCCCGTGGGGGACTGGGGAGCCCCGAGAAAGGAGAGGCGCTTCGCCACGCGGGGGTGGGGCTGGGGCTGGGCGGTGCCCACACGCACCTGGGCAGAGGGTCCACCTCTCCGTGCTCAGGTGCGGGGCCGGGAGAACTTTGAAATCCTGATGAAGGTCAAGGAGAGCCTGGAGTTGATGGAGCTGGTGCCCCAGCAGCTGGTGGAGTCCTACCGGCAGCAGCAGCAGCTCCTGCAGAGGCCGTGAGTGCTGCCCCTCCCGCCCCCAGGCTGCCCGTCCTGCCCAGCTGCCCGGGGGAGAAGGATGAGGCAGGGCGACCCAGCAGGGACGGTGCCAGCAGCACCAGGCCGCGCTTGGCGTCTCATCCCCCGGGAGGCCTTCCCTGAACTGCGGCGTCTCAGCCCAAATGTCTCCCGAGTGAAGGCAAGGGGCGGTGGTGGGAGAGACGCCGACCCACCAAGAGCAGGGCCGGTTCCAGGGGCCCCCACCCCCTCCCACCCATCGCCCGGGTCCTGCCTGGCCACCGTCCGGCAGGGAGGCTGGGCGCGGAGGCGGGCGCTCTGACACCTCAGCGCAGGGCGGGGCCTCCAGGCCCCTGCAGCAGGGGGGCTTTACATGTGGAGGTGCTTCTTACAGACCCCAGCTGTCCCTTCCAAGCAGGAGCCACCTGCAGCCTCCGTCCTACGGGCCAGTCCTCTCGCCCGTGAGCAAAGCGCACGGGGCTATCAACAAGCTGCCCTCCGTCAACCAGCTGGTGGGCCAGCCTCCCCTGCACGGCTCGGCGGCCGCGCCCAGCTTGGGGCCCATGGGTGAGTGGCGCGGGCAGCGTGGCCGGGATGGGCGGGGAGGCCCAGAGGGCGGGCCTGGCTCCAGACACCCCAGCTCAGGACCACGCGGGGCTCTCGATGGCTGCTCCCTCCAGCAGCTTCCGCCCAGGAACAGGAGGCACGGCCACAGACGGTCTCCTCTGTCCACTCCCGGTCTTGGGGAGGGCCGAGCGTTACGAGCCTCCCCCGCACAGCCTGGGACGCCCGGCCCGGCCCCCTCTGACCGTCCCGTCCCACCTGCCTCCCGCCCAGGCCCCGGGATACTCAACAACCACGGCCACGCCCTGCCGGCCAACGGCGAGATAAACGGCGGCCCCAGCTCCCAGTCCATGGTCTCGGGATCGCACTGTACCCCGCCACCCCCCTACCACGCCGACCCCAGCCTGGTCAGGTACGTGGGCCGCTGCCGGCCGCTGCCACTAACCCACTAACCTCAGCCCTGGTGGCTCCTGGTCGCCTGGCCCCCAGCCCGGGGGCGGTCTCTGCCTGCTGCCCCTCGCAGCCTGTGCTCTAGCGCTCTACCGTCTTGAGAACAGACAGGGGCAGAGGGATGTCGGGAGTGAGCATCCAGCAGGTGCTCGGAGGGAGAGCAAAACAGCCAGGGGTTCCTGGAGGCTGTGCCCCGGTGAGCGGCCACCGGTGGGCAGGGGCGACCTGTGGGGTGGCCAGTTCCCACCCAGACGGGCCGCAGGGCTAGGTTCTTGGAAGTTCATGCTGCTTTATTTCCCCGATTCTCTCCGCAGCTTTTTAACAGGCTTGGGGTGTCCAAACTGTGTCGAGTGTTTCACCTCCCAGGGGTTACAGAGCATTTACCACCTGCAGAACCTAACGATGGAGGTAACGGCCCCGGCAGGGCAGGTGCAGGGAGCCCACCCCCAGACCAGCGCACGGCCCCGTCCGCGGGGCAGGGAGCTTTCTCCCCTTGCTGGGGCAGTCCCTCCGTGTCCTGTCCTCCCCGTGTAAGGGAGGGCTGGAGAATTTGGAAAACCTTCCCACCGGCAGCCCGATCTATGCGCTGACATCCGGCTCCATGCGGCTGGACGGGACTCGCCGGGGCCCCTCATTTGGACTTGAGTCTTGTCTCCTGTGGCCCGGCTGCCTTTGATCTGGGGGACTGGCTGTCTCCAAGGCACGAAGAAGTGCAGAAGGCGAAGGCCGGAAGGGTCCTGGGGCTGGTCTAGTTCAGTGCCATTTACACAGGGAGAAGCTGCGGCCCAAACTGCTTGCCGTGCACGCACAGCGACTGAATGTCTGGTCCAGGATGTGCGGGGTACAAGTGCCCCACCCTTGGCATCCTGACCCCTGACCTCACAGCCAGGGCTTGTCTTTAGGTTAAACAAGAGTCCCAGCAACGAGCACTCGTAGCCTGGTGTTGCCTTGAGTGTAATGACTATTAGCCAGAGCCCGGGAGACACAGCTGTCGGCCGCATCCTGGGGGGCTCCAGCTCAGCGGGCTGGAGCCTCCGCAGCCCCTGCTCTGCAGCCGGCTCCGGGTCAGAGGCCCGTCCAGGCTCGTTCGTGCCCAGCCAAGGCCACAGGGCAGAGATGCGGGTTTGCCAGAGGGAGCTGGGGCCAGTGGCTCAGAGGGCTGCCTTGTTGTGTGTCCACTAATGCCCTCCCTAGGGAACAAGCCCCTTGCTCCAGGCAGCTAACCCCTGCTGGGCTAGCTCGGTGCACGTTAACCCTGCCTCACCAGCAGATGCTCTGCCTGGCCGGCGGGGTGGGGAGGGAGCGGGCGACAGGAGCCTGAGGATCTGCTCTGCCCTTGGTGGGGGGGGCGCCCGCCCTCTAGGTCCTGGCGTGCGGGGAGGAGGGAGCTCCATCTGTGCTCAGGGCCCAGGAGTGGCCTCAGCACCGCCCCCCCCCCACCCCCCCGTCCCCACAGGTCACTTCTTAGCTCTCCTGCCACCTGTCTGGGGCAGAATTCAGTGCGGCCAGACCGCCAGGCACAGGGCGGGCCCAGCACTGCCCCTCCTCCGACCGCACCATCTGCTTCCCCCGTACCGCCCAGTGCCCGGACAGGTGGCCCTTGGGGTGTGGGTTCCTCGCCTCCCTCCTGGTGGTACCACGATGGCTGTGCGGGGGCAGGCGGAGCCCCTGGTGGGATGGGGAGAGGGCAGAGCCTGCCGCTGAGCCCTCTGACGGGGGCGGCCGTGTGCGCTACGCTTGCAGGACCTGGGGGCCCTGAAGATCCCGGACCAGCACCGAATGACCATCTGGAGGGGCCTCCAGGACCTGAAGCAGAGCCACGACTATGGCGCGCAGCTGATCCGCTCCAGCAGCAACGCGGCCACCATCGCCGTCGGGGGCTCCGGGGAGCTGCAGCGGCAGCGGGTCATGGAGGCCGTGCACTTCCGCGTGCGCCACACCATCACCATCCCCAACCGCGGGGGCCCGGCTGGGGGTGTGGGGCCCGACGAGTGGGCCGACTTCGGCTTCGACCTCCCGGACTGCAAGTCCCGCAAACAGTCCATCAAAGAGGAGTTCACGGAGAGCGAGGCCAACTGAGGTGGGGCCGGCACATCCAGGGCCCCCCTGACCCGGTGCTACCGACCCAGAGAGCAGAGAGCCCCGGGAGCCGCGCTGGATGTCTGCTTCCTTTTTGTCACCAACTGCCTTGGGAGGCAGGACCTCTGGGCTGTGCCAGGAAAGGGACTTGGGCAGGGGGATGCCCCTGAGGAGGGGCTCCGGGAGCTACGCTGAGGGTGCGCGCCCAGGACCCATCCTCCAGGGGTCCGGGGGGCCTCCCCCTCCCTGCCTTGCCTTCCTGGGGGCTCTGCTGACCGACTGCCAAAAAGTATTTCTCGATGTCTCTGGCTCTGGGTAGCAACACGGCTCGGTGCTTGTACCTAAACACTCCTGTTTTCGGGTCAAGGTTCCAGACTACATCTCTGCCTGAGGCTGTCCCTCTGCTGGTCTTGAGGGTCAGTCTGCCCTTGCACACCTGACCGCTGGTGCAAAGCCCACTGCAGCCACCTCCCACTTCCTGCCCCAAACAAAAACCAGAGTTTCACTGGAATCGGGGAGGCAAGGAAACTCCTGGTCGGCGGCCTCCAGCCAGCACCCGTGCCAACACCGCGGGCTGCAGCCCCTCTCTCCAGTGGCCCTCTTAGCATAGACACGGACAGCAGGCTCCCCAGACCACTGGAAAGTGTCAATATTTGATAAAATGATGCCCTTTTCTACATGGTGGGTGAGGCTTTTTTTAAATTAACTTTGTTCTTAACATTCACGTTGGGTCAGCCTAGCGGGATGCCCGTCTTCCCAGGCCTGTGTAAACAAGATGGGCTAAGAAAGCCGAGGGGCAAACCAGGCGGGGTCCACACCAGGCAGGGGTAGGTCACTTGCTTCCGCGTGCGGGATGGGAGGCAGGCATAGGAGGGCAGAGCCCACCGCCTGCAGCCGTGGCCCCACTCTGCTCCCTGGGAGGCCGGCTCTGCGGGAGAGGCCCTCCTGTCCTCGTGGGGACAGCACTGAGGCAGGTGGAGGGGGTCCAGGCCTTTACGGGACACACCAAGGAGTCAGCGGGCTGGAGGGGGACAGCGTCAGCACCCTAGCTGATGGGGACATTTCCATCTGCAAGAAGCCTTCTGAGCTGCTGTAGCCAGAGAACTTCAGGGCCAGAAACAAGACCACAGAGGGTGGTGGGAGAGGGGATGAAGCAACCCCCCTTGTTCCAGGCAGGTGGGATGAAGGGACTCCTGACTAATGTGTATGCTGAGCCGCCACCTACTACTTTCGTAGCATCTCTCTGTCCCTCACTCTGCCTGGGTCCCTGTGGTTAGTCCTGCGGTCTGGGCCCTCCTGTCCAAGGCCCCCAGGCCAGGGGGTGGTGCAGACGGAGCCCTAGTCGCCCTTTGGGGGTTTTCCTGTTGCTATAACCACCCCCCCAAGCCCCCGGCCCGGGGAAGTTAGGAAGCAGCAGACCTCACGCAGGTCCACTCAGAAGCCGAGCTCTCAAGACTGGGTGTTCAAGTTCCAGTTCCCTCGTTAGGTTCCCAGGCTCTTCAGAGGCGGGCACTGGGCAGAGAGAGGGGTGTCAGTTGTACTAAGTGGCTCAGAGACCAGCCAGCAGGGGACGGAACCTCAGGGCCAGCTCTGCCCCTGACCCGCTGGCAGGAGGCCTCCAGACCAGGGCTTCATCCTGGACATGGAGTGTAAACACTGCGCAGCTCTACTTATTTAAAAAAGCATTTGTGCGAAGGCAGGTGCCTGCGTCCAGGGTAGCACCCCCTCCCCCCACCATGCGCTCCCTGGGGACCCCCTTGGGGGCGGAAGGGGGTGTCCTCAGCCCCCAGGAGGCCCCGCCTGCAGCCGGGCCTGAGAGCCATGGGGAAGAGACCAACCGCCCCCCTGGGGGGGGCGGGCTCAGCTCCTCGGGGCCTGCCGTCGCCCGGCAACCCGGACACATGCCCTGGCAGCGCCCGACCAGCCGTTGCGCCGTCCTGTTTCCTCTTGACATCCTCACAAGGCCCGGGGTAAGTACACTGTTCCTGCGGTTCCAACAAGGAAAGTGAAGCACAGAGGGCTGGCTCTGAGCCCCAGGTCACAGCCGCTGCCGTGGTGTCCGGCTCTTGCTCCAGTGGCACACGCTGGGCCCCCAAGTCGTGCCCCGTTGGGAGCTGCAGGCCCTTCCCTCAGCTCCCCTGGGGCCCACGAACCTGACGGAGGAGCAGCTGAGTGCCCGGGGCTCCCGGGACTGTCCCTCAGGCTCATCCTGTCGGCTGGTGGGGAGGCCACGGGGGCCCCAGGGTGCTCCCGAAGTCCGGGGGCTGCGACGTGCAGGCACGGGCCGGGCGTACCCCCAACCCGGAGGGAGGGGAGACGCATCCTCCCAGAGGGCCCAGCACAAGCTCCCCGCCCCTTCGGCCCGCGTGATGAGCCCCCGCAGCTCCTGGGCCTTTGCTCCCGGAGCTGACGGTGGAGCGGCCGTGAGAACTGAGCCGGTGGGGACTTCCTCGTGGTCGCAGGGACACGCACAGCGACAGGAGCAAAGACGGGCTGCGCGAAACTCAAAGATCAAGAGAAGATAAACCTGTGAAGAGGCAGGAGGGAAGCGGCCGGGAGAGGGCTGGGCCGGGCCTCATGGACGCCGGCCGGGCTGAGCACAGCTGCCCGGTCCCAACCGGCTCCTCCCGGCTGCTGGGGGCGGTCGCCCCACCCAGGTTTGGGTGGCTTCTTCAGTGGCCCTGGTTCCCAACATGCAGGGACCAAGAACGTGGTGTCGCTATCCCCTCGGACATGCCAGCCTTGCAGACACAAACATCAGCTTCTGTTTCGTCGGTTAAAGCGCTTTAATGCTTTAAGGTTTAAAAAAACACCAGCCCTGTCGTTAACGTCAGGTGATGCTTCTTCAGGCGGCATTGATGGATCTATTCCAACCATATTATTACCTTCTCTTGGGAATGTAATCTTGGGAAAATGTGGTATTTTTTTAGCTGTGTTTTGGTGGGAATTTTTGGTTTTGTAACATAATAAAGCACATGTTCCGATGACTGACACTTATGACTGAATCAGATACAAAGACGAGAGCACACATGACACAAACACACCCCAACACACACACCCAGCGGGCGCACCATCTGGGTTTGTCCCGTGTTTTCGGTGAGTGTGATGCATCCCCAGGCACCATCCTCCCCTGCGCCTCAGAGCCGTGTGCCTCGCGGGGACTCGAGTCCAAGGACAGCCTGAGGACCGACCGACACCCGGTTCTGTCCGAGCGCCGCCAGCTAAGCTCACGGGACTGGCTGCGGCCCAGCCACCTCAGGCCTCCTAAGAGCAGGGGCCGGGTCCGACTTCAGGAAGTCTTCCGGGCGTCCCTGTAGACAGTCCTCCAGCTGTTTCGAGTTGAAGTTCATGTTCCTCTGCAAAACTCAGGAGCTCGGTTCAGCCCAGCTCAGGCTCTAGGGCATCGGACGTCGTTCCGTCCCTCCAGGCCTCAGGTTTCTGGATGCCAGGCCTGTGAATAAGGGACTGGGGACTTGGTACAGCAAAAGGAGGGCTCTCAAAACCCGTTCAACCTCGAGGTAGGCCAGGGTCTTTCTAGACGTGGGGCTGAAACGTAGCAGGACAAGGCGAGATGGAGTCCCGCCCACCTCCCTGGCCCCAGTTTCCTGGGTGGGGCTCTGGGTGCCCCTTCTCCCCGCACCTCTCAGCCCCTTCCCCAGAGCCGACAACCTCATGTGACAGTGAGCTGTCCCTGCCCCACTGCAGTGACAGGAATCCGCATCACCGACGCCAGCACCTCAGGACTGGACGGGAACAAAGACTCGGGAAGCTTAATCAGAAAGAGACTGCCACCGACGCCACAGCAGGGCCCTGAAACAAGCCCTTTGAGGGATGAGCACGGTAACGCTAGTGTGTTCAGTGCAAGGCGATTTTAATATCTTTGTTGAAAAAAACCCTTTTTTAAAAAAGTAGGGTACTTTTAAAATACACACTTATGTTCAAATATATAAAAACATCTCCCATAGGCTGACGCGTAATTTTTGAAAGATAACCTGGGTTCAGAGCAGACCTGGCACTTTGCAAGGCCCTGGGCTCTGGGGACACTCCCCCGAGTAGCCACCAGGGAGCAGAGGAGGCCACGGCCCCTCGGGAGGAAACAGCATCATCTCCTCTCCCCGTGGGCACCCAAAGATGAAGGCTATATATTCAGGCAAGAATTAAAAAAAATGATTCTTTAATATCACATTTCCTAAGAATAGTGCTGCCTTATATATTGTGCACAAACTCACAGATGCTTCAAGAAAGTGGTTTGGTTTTTAAAGACGCTACAACTGCCCCAAGGGCCCAGGGGAACCTGCAGCCCCGAGTGCGTGGCACACGGTCTCAGATGCTGAACCAGCCTTCGCTCTGCTCACCACACAGAAGAGGAGCTGCTCAGGGCGGGAGCTGCAGCTTCCGGCCAGTTTACGAGGCCCAATTCCTGCCCTGCGTTCTTCCCAGGCCCCCCGCGGAGGAGACCCTGCCAGAAGGGCGTCCCTCACTCACCAGGCCCAGGCTCCAAACAGAGCAGCAATGCCAACCTCTGCCTCCTGGCTCTGACATCATGCCCTAAGCAATCCCGTTACCCCAGTAACGAAACACACTCGGTCTCCAAAGGATAATGTCACCAAAGGTCCCATCTCTCTCAGCATCGGGTACGTGGGGACGGGCTGTCAGATCTCAGGCAGGGTCCCGGGTTCGAGCCGCGCCGTGGCTCATGGTGCTTCTGTCTTGACCACACGGGCCTCGATTGCTTCATGCCGAAGGTCCATGGCTGACCGGCTCCACCAGGACTGCTGTGAGGCTGCGGCCACCTGGAGTGTCCCGACGAGCAGCTCTTCGGTGACTGCAGGAGCTTCTTTCCTTGGACAGAGTGTGTTTAAACAGAGTTAGGGCGAAAACCTAGACCCCAAGCAGGGACACGACATTCCTTCTTTGTTTGGGGCCATGGGGCCATGGAGAGGTCACGGGCCTCCTGGGTTTGTGCGCCAGGGAGGCCCACAGACTCTACTTGACACACCCCTCCCCCGGGGTCATCTGGTCTCCCTCCCCAGCCACTTTCTTCAAGGACACGTGAAATTCGCCGGATCCCAGGAATTTGGAGTAACTATCGTGTTACAGGCTTCAGAGCTAAAACATTTCTTATGGCACTCCCGGCAACGGGGTATATTCACATAACCCTAAAGGGACACCTACAGGACGGTATCTAAAATACATGCAGTGCCAATGATTATTTAAAACAAACAACTTTGGGGACTTCCCTGTGGTCCACCAGTAAAGAATCCGCCTTCCAATGCGGGGGATGCGGGTTTGATCCCTGGTTGGGGAACTGAGATCTCACGTGCCGCGGGGCAACTAGGCTGCATAAGGATGGAGGGGGGATGAGGGCTGAGAGCACAGACGACTCACGGGCTTCACTCCAACAGGACGAGAGATGGGCCATATAGCTCAGGGCCAAGCAGAACAGGACTTCTTGAGAGCCAGCAGTGCAACACAGCACGACAAGCCCCCCCCGTGCCGGAGCCCCAGACGTGCTGTCCCAGGCGGGCTCTGGTCTCCCACACGCGCGGCTCCCGCACACCTGCTCAGCCAGCCGGATGGGGAGCAGACGTCACCTTCAGTCCTGGCCCAAACACGCACACGGGTGAGCCTCGTGTGTGTCACCTACCACGTACGTTTCCAGTGAGGCCTGGAGAGACCAGTACCCCGACCACAACCATGGGCTGACCCTCTGGCCCCCCTCCCTGCCCCATCTCCTGCGGTTCAGGGTGACACAGCTGAGCCTGGGCCCCCCAGGGTGCCTCGCTGTCGCTGCCTCAGTCCCTGACCGGGCCCTTCTTCCCGCCCTCCCTCTGGCGTCTGACCAGCTCTTACTGTGTGCTTCCGCTGCACTGGTGGCCCCGATGTCCCCACCTCCCTCGGGACTGCCTGAGGGTACTCACACCCTCAGGCAGTCCCCGGCCCTGGGACCTGCCACAACCCACAGAACGCCGCAGAAATGGTGCCAGCTCAGGGCCCAAGCCTTGAGAGGCCCGGCTGCTTCCACTCTTGTGCCCTTGGGGGCCCTGAGATGCCGTCAGAAGTGGGGTCACCTGCCAGGGAGACCCGAGGAGGGGCTGCCCTGGGACCACACAGAAGAGAACCCACGTGGGGCTTCCCTGGTGGCGCAGTGGTTGAGAGTCCGCCTGCCAATGCAGGGGACGCGGGTTCGTGCCCCGGTCCGGGAAGATCCCACATGCCGCGGAGCGGCTGGGCCCGTGAGCCATGGCCGCTGAGCCTGCGCGTCCGGAGCCTGTGCTCCGCAACGGGAGAGGCCACAAGTGAGAGGCCCGCATACCGAAAAAAAAAAAAAAAAAAAGAGAGAACCCACGTGATTGCAAGACAGTTGCCGGCAGGCCACCAGCCAGCTGACTGCATTCGCTGGGGAGCCCACGGGGAAGACCAGCAGAAGGGGCCCCGCTCAGGGGCGAGCGGCGCGTATCGCTGCTTCAGAGCATCCTAGGCCCCCGCCCCCGCCCCCGCCTGCCTGGGATGCCGCCCACAGCACCTCTGCGCGCCCTGCCGGCTGCCCTTTCCCTCGGACACGGGCCTCTGCCCCCTCAGAGGCTGCACACGGCCTGTCTCACGGCGGGGGCTGGAGGAACGTTTACTGAAAGAACGAATCTCTCAGTTCACAGGTGTGAACTGCTTCTGGCTCGACACCTCTTAACAGAGCCTCTGGGGAGCAGCTGACGAGTTCAGTGAGGTCGACCGGCTCAACCGCGACCCCTCGAAACAGTTTTTATGCATCATGGCCCGCATCACTTTACTCGCCCTCAAATTGGGGACTGGGGACTGTGGCGTCCTGTACAGGGTCACCAACTGGGGCTACAGCCCAGATGCTGGGGGGAGGACCTTGCGAGGAAAGCCGCACTCTCACCCGGGCAGGGTGTGCTCCCCAGGGCAAACACGGATTCTCCAGGCAACGCGCTGACAATGTCCACGTCAATGTCCACGTCAATGTCCACGTCAATGTCCACGTCATGCACGGCAACGCTGTAGAAAATCCTACCTGAACACAAGGGGGAGCCACCCCTGGCATCCGGATCGTGGCTACGGGCGCTCCCCACCGTGGGTCCCCGACCTGATGTCCTCAGGAGACCTGGAGAGGCTCCTGGGTACAGACTGCTGACGGTGGTGACCTGATGGACCCTCCCCGGGGCATGGCCATCTCGGACCTTCTTGTGCAGGAACTGGAGAGCCGGGTCAGAGGACCTGGAAGGCAAGGATGGACACCAGGCAGCCCCGTCCCCACTGCCCATCTACCGGAGAAGTGCATCTGGCCAGCTGGGCTCTGGGCCACGGCCCTCAAAACCTTCCCAAACACGTACATTCTGATGGGCTATTAACAACCCTGTCCATGGGGTGCAGCGAGGCGGCAGGCAGCACGCCAGCCACTTTACTTAAATCCCAACCCCATCCTTTTCGCATCCCGATGTTCCAAACCCTGTGTGGTCTCCGGGATGAGATACAGGCTGCTGACTTCGGTAGCTGCCCCCATTTCAGATCGTGAGCTCCTGGGAGCAAAGGCCTTTCTGCTTCTCCCCCAGTTACACCAGCACGGCTTCTGGCAATGAGGAAACACTTGCTACACTCTGGTCCAGCAGCAATCAGGTGACCTGAAGTATGTGCATCTCGAGGAAGACAGAATCGGCCCCAGAGGGCAGCGCACAGTCGCAACACAGGCAGCTGGTGGGCCGTGGCTGGACTCCCCCCCCCCCCCCCGAAGTCTGCTTTTCTCCTGTGTGACACCCTCCTACTACCGGGTCTCTTCCTTCCTTTCTTTTCTTTCTTTCCTTTCTTTCTTTCTTTCTTTCCTTTTCTTTTTCTTTCTTTCTTTCCTTCTTTCCTTTTCTTCCTTCCTCCCTCCCTCCCTCCTCCCCTCCCTTTCTTTTCTTTCTTTCCTTCTTTCTTTTTCTTTATTCCTTCCTCCCTCAAAAAAAAAAAAAAAAAGAGAGAAC